AGTGAAAAGTTAGCAATTATGAAGGCAGAGTATGAGAAGTATGGAAGGATGATCAATAACCTAGAGAGTGCTGGCTCTTCTTCCAACCCTCTGGGAAATTCAACCTCTTCTACATTTGCTCATTCAGGTATACGGTCTTATGCCAATCATGCAACTATCTCAGGTAATCGTAGGATCCCTTGGATTCTTGATTTTGGTGCTTCTGACCATATGACCAGTCTTTCCACCTTGTTTATTTCTTATGATTTGCTTCTTGGTCGTGATAAAATCACCCTAGCCGATGGCTCTCTTGCTCCTATCTCTGGCAAGGGAACTATCAAGGCTACAGACTCTTTGTTACTTCCTTTTGCTCTTCATGTACCCAAACTAAATACAAATTTGTTATCTATAAGCAGCCTAACTAAGTCTTTGAATTGCAGTGTAACCCTTTTTCCTTCCTACTGTGTTTTTCAGGATTTGGAGTCTCAAAAAGTGATTGGGAGTGGCCATGAGGCGAATGGAATATATCTGTTGGATACTCCTGGACAGAGCCAAGGACAACCTGAGAAAGTTGCCTTTGGATCTACATCTTCAGAGTCTATCAGTCGTGTCATGTTATGTCATTTTCGTTTGGGTCATCTTTCTTTTATTGCATTGAGTCATTTATTCCCAGAACTATTTAAGGGAATTAATTTGTCTAGTCTTCATTGTGAGTCTTGTGAATTGTCAAAACATTGTAGAAGCAGTTACCTTTTGAGTAATAAAAAATCTTCTTCTCCATTCCATATTGCGCACTCTGATGTGTGGGGGCCTTACCACTTACCCTCTATGGGTGGCTACAAATATTTTATCTTGTTCATTGATGATTTTTCACAATACACTTGGATATTTTTTATGAAGACCCGTGATGAAGTTCCCGGACTTGTGAGGCAGTTCCATGAATTTGTTCTAACCCAATTTGATACTAGAATCAAAATTTTCAGATCCGATAATGCAAAAGAATATTTTGAGAAAAACCTAACCTGTTATCTACTGATTTGGGGGTTATTCACCAAAGTTCCTATGTTAGGACTCCAGAACAGAATGGAGTTGCTGAAAGAAAAAATTGGCATATTGTTGAAGTTGCAAGAAGTATCATGTTTGCCTCACATATCCCTACAAGATTTTAGGGGGATGTTGTCCTCATTGCAACCTACCTAATTAACTGTATGCCATCCAGAGTGTTGAGTTTTAAGTCTCCTTTCAATCTTCTTCATCCATGCAAGGACCTTTTTCCTATTCCACTCCATGTCTTTGGCTGCACTTGCTATGTACACATTCCAAGTACCCAGAGACATAAATTTGAACCAAAGGCCCACAGTGCATTTTCCTTGGTTATGCCTCCATACAAAAGGGTTATTGTTGTTTTGATCCAAAGTCTGGAACTCTATGTCTCTTCCTCCGAGGATGTATATGTTGATGATATAGTTGTGACCGGTAATGATATAACAGGGATTAATGATCTTAAATATTTCCTTCATATAGAGTTTGAGATCAAAGATCTAGGGGAATTGAGATATTTTCTTGGCATAGAAGTTGCTCGATCTAAGGATGGGATCCTTATCTCTCAACGAAAGTATGTGCTTGACTTGCTCACTGAAACAGGGAAGATGGGTGTTAGACCAGTTGCTACTCTTATTGATATGAGTCATAAACTTTCTGCCTCAGATGGAGTATTGTTGAAAGATAAGGGAGTCTTCTAGAGGTTACTTGGGAAGCTGCTCTATTTGTGCATGACTCGGCCAGACATTGCATATGCTGTCAGCTACATTAGTCAGTTCATGCATGCTCCCAGGGACACTTACATGGCAGTAACAGAACGAATTTTGTGTTATTTAAAGGGTTCTCCTAGAAAGGGAATTCCATTTGCTAAGCATGGTCATATGAAACTAGAGGCTTACACAAATGCTGATTGGACCAAAAATATTGATGATAAAAGATCAAATTCTGGGTACTATAGCTTAGTGGCAGGTAATATTGTTTCTTGGAGAAGAAAGAAACAATCAGTTGTTGCCAGATCTTCAACCGAAGCTGAATACAAAGCCATGACTCATAGAGTTTCTGAAGTATTGTGGCTTCGATCCTTGATGGAGGAACTGGGTATTGAGTATGATAAGCCATTAATGTTATATTAAGATAATCAAGCTGCCATCAACATTGCTCACAATCCAGTGCAATATGACAAAACCAAACATATTGAAGTTGACAAACATTTTATTCGAGAAAGAGTGGCTTCTGGAGAAGTTTGTCTACCATTTATCTCTTCTGAAGGACAATTAGCTGATTTCCTTACCAAGGGCATCCCCAAGGCTAAACTTCATCATGATACTAGCAAGCTTGACATGATTGACATCTATGCTCAGCTTGACGAGGAGTGTAGAGAAGATGGGCCGAATGGCCCATAAACTGTTTTCTTATTTCTTTTCTTTATGTTCTTTTCTATAATGGGCATTTCTTATGTTATGTATTTTTTAAATTATTCGCCCAGTTAAGGGCCTCTCTGTAAATTACTGAAATTAAGTTAATGAAAAGGAATTAGGGTGTAAGAGGAGATTAGATTCAAAAATCTCTCTCTGAACCCTTATTGCCGCAACCTTCTTTTCCTCTTCTCTCTTCTTGATTCTCTGTTTCTGTTGTTCTCTATCACTTTTCTGCACCTTTTCAAACAGACTGTTTATTTCAGAAGGTTGTTTTTCTTCTACATCCATAACCCTTTGAGCCCCCCCTCTTGCCTCAACCCCCCACCCCCCCCGTGTCCATCATACTTCTATTAAACCCCCTCCTTGCCCTACAACTAACCACTCCATCTTCAACCTCAGATCATGATCTTCATCTTCTACATAAGATGAAACCCAATTTGCTACCACGCCTTCACCATGTGCCGCTTAATCATCCTCAACAAAGAATGAATCAACACTAACCACTCCATCTCCAACCTCAAACCATGATAAGATGAAACCCAATTTGCTACCATGTACAACTTGATCATCCCTGTTCATATTCAGGTTTAAGAGAAGAGAAGAAGAACTTGAAGAAAGGGGCTGCATCTTATGTTTTGTCCAGCCCTAAATGGTACTGAAATGAGTGATTTAAAAGATTACAAGAAAGGCAAAACTGCCCCTGATTAGATGGCAGAAATAAAAGTAAAAGTATGGGAAAAGCCCAGGCCCATAAAACTTAATTAAATGAAATACATAACAGAAACTGAGAAAAGGCCCAAGCCCACACAGTTATGTCTGACAACAATCCCCAACACAGAATAAATAAGCAAGATCTTCCCCCTCAATCATCACACAAACAGCTAAGCTCAATGATTTTTTTTATAAGAAAAAACTTGTAGTGTTCCTCAACAAAGAATAATTCAATGAAAGAGGTGATGGAAGCCCTTGGTTGATTCTATCACCCTATTCTGTTATCAATACAACTAAAGCATCTGCAAGCATCACCCATGGCATGAAAAGTCCAAATGCACCACACATGAAGTGTGTGGTGCATAAACCCAAAAGGCTTCCTCAAGGCAACCTAAATGATCCAACTGATAGACTCCACCACATGATTCTCATGTCTGGTGTGTGCCATTAATCCCTTTCCCATTCCAAAATACTATCAGCTTCCTCATCTGAAACAAATGAACAAAAAAAAGACTTCTACATAAGCTCCTACCCTCCATAGGATGAACTGTATTCCATTCCTTATTCACTCAAACTGCCACTTCTTTTTCATCTGGATTTGCACTCACAAAACACCCCACCAGACATGCCTCCAACAGCTCCAACCTTTGTTACAGCTTACAAACATCCTAAACTTCCACCTAACAAACCAATGTTTTTGTAGAACCCCTTCAAAATGTAGCTTTCCTTACACCTCTTCCTCTTTGCTTGGCTATTTTATCCAGATACAACAAGGGAATCACATGGCTGGCAAGATTTTGAATGTACACTAAGACCTTGTTCGTTTACCGGTAAATAAGAGGGAGAAAGTTGGTCAATGGGTATCTCTTTCCCATTGACCAACTGTACCCATTGACCAACTTTACAGTGTTCTTTTTGCAATAAATATTGGGCCCCACAGTAAAGTCATCTTCATTTACCAAGGTAAAACTTACCCATCTCCCAGGTGGGTAACTTTCCCACCTGGGGGGAAAGTGTATAAAACATAATGGGACAAGTTTGCCCATTTTAACATTAGCTTTTTATGGGTAAAAAAGTCATTATAGTACTTACCTGGGAATCAAAAGAACATGGGTAAGTGAACTTACCCAGGTAAGTGTTACCCAGGAAACATTTACCTGGGTAAGTGAGTGACAAATTTATAAACGAGCGGGGCCGAAAAATTGAATTATCCAACACAATATTGTAACCCTAGACAGAAAAATCTGCACTACATTCAGCCTTGAGCAAGGAGGCATGTACGTTGTGACAAAGATAAGAGGTCCACTGTATATATTTCTCTGTATGAAACAAAGCCTCTCAGAGAAGTGGGATATCCACTTTATATAGTAATAGATGCATTATGAGATTTATAACTAAAACTCCGTATTTAATGCAAATGTTAATGTCTTTAGACCAAGATGTGCATCAAACCCACATGCCAACATCTGAAAAATACTGAGAAAAAGTGGGAGAGAAAAGTGTTAAAATGTGTCTGACACAGACTTGTAGGATACCGTGTTTCTACTGGACTTAAATGCCAAAAGTCTAGAACTCCGTACAAAGAGGATTGGGAAAAGGGAGCCACAATGGATTCTAAAATGAACACTGATGATCATCTTTAATTTGGCTTGAGAGTGTCTCCCCCCCCCTCCCTGGGCGGAAAAAAAAAAGTAATTGATATATTGATGTTTAATAGGCAAGAATAACAAATTCCATTAGGAGGACCTTAATCAGGTCTCTCAGCTAGGCTACTAATAAATGTCCTCCCTTTGCTATTGAACACAAAAAATAAATAGATAAATAAATAAGGACATATTACGGGATACTGACCCACACAGCTTCTGAGCTATCATCACTTAACAACTCCAAAATTGGTTGAATAAGTTTCCCAGCATGAGATGTCCCATCTTTCTTTAAATTTGAAAATCCACCTAACCTAATTCCAAAATTAAACCAAATGGAAGAAGTTACGATCTTATAACAACTACAACTCAGAATGCTCCAAGTAATGCAGTTCAAATTTAAGCTTAAGGATTAAATCTCATATACAATCATTGAGGACAATTACAGTTTCAACAATTTAAAACTTGATAATAGATAAAATATGCAGATAACCAAGGAATTATCCTGGTCCATATTCGCATACAACTGAAAACTCCCATGCATGTGAGGCATTGTCCAGTATGCAGGTACATTTACAAACCCAGAAAATTCATATTAATAAGTACAGATCTTCACCAATGACAGAACAAATACTACAAACATGAGATAGATGCACCTAGAGAATTATGTTTCCATAAAAGGAATAAATCAAACCTTGTAAAAAGATCTGCCAAGGATGCACAAGAAGCAACTTTCACAAAATGAGAAGCAGATGGAGGCTGCTTAAAACACCAAAAAATCATATCAAATAATGAATAATCAACATGCTGCAATATGATAATTCGAGCAATGAAGTTTTAAATAAATTGAAAGTGAATGAGAAATAAGCAGTTACAACAAGTTTCATATACAGGAAATAGAAGAGACCTTCAACATATGCAAGGAGATAGTGCAAAAAGTAATAGCACAAAAAAAAGTATCCCAGATTCCCAGGTAAGCCAGAGATGATCAAAGGAAAATGAATAAAAAAGGAAGTTGTTCAAGGCTTTGGATAGAATTTTCACAGTAGATCACCTAAAGAGTAGCAATTAGGTAGGTGAGGTCATGTGTAACAAGTAATAAATGATGCATTCCATCACTTGTACAGTAGTGGTAGTGAATCATTCATTTTTTTATGGATGATTGACTTTATTATTCTCCGTATTCAGAAAGCATTGGTTCAAAGTGACAACAGATAACTCAGAAGCTGGCTCAGATTGAAGAATAATGTTTCTTATTTCCTATTTTCTTTAACTGTGTAAGTTATGTTAGATTTGAACAAAAGGTGTAATAATGTACATGAGGAAACATACAAGGTTATGCAAAAAGATAAAGATAGCGCTCCAGTGGATAAACTTGGGCAGTTTGTCTCAACTGCAGTGTGGGTGCTTTTGAAACATTGAACTGGACCACTCCAAGATAACTCCTAGACTTTATGATTTGTGGAGTATGTGGATTTTTTTTATATGCAGTGGATTATCTGGATTGTTGCTTATAATCCTTAAACTTTTTTTTCATCAATACATATAACCCTTAAACTTAATAATGATACTCTGTTAGATCTCGGAATTGTTTGCTTTTGATATGCCAGGCAGTGAAATCCTTCCAAGATCAATATCTGGGTATGTTGGAGTGTGATGATGGGATTGGGGCAAGTGATAATAGGATCTGTTACTCTTTCAGACGGTGAATACTAGGAAATGACTTCTCTGATGGATACCTAAATCTACTAGCAATTGGTTCCGAAGTTGGTTTGAAATCTATTTGCAAAATGCATTTATATTAGTAAATAATTAGTTACTTTCTAAATGTATTTGTAAATTGATTTTCCCCAGGATAAGTCATCCCTAGTTTACAATGCTGGGTATTAATGGCAAAAGATTGTGTTGCCATTTGCCAATGTTCAAATATGCCCAAAACCTGATGACCACACATCATTAGGCCCATTAGGGCTGTTCGCAATTTTTTCATGCCGACCAAACCAGACCGGACCGACTCAACCTGAGATGGTCAGTTTTAAAAAATAACCGGTCAGTTTCAGCTCAATAAGCATTAAAACCTGATGGATCAATTCAGTTGCGGGTTATGTGTATATAAACCTGCAACCGGACCAACATATGAATGTTAATGAGAACTGATGTGGATATGAGTCTATCACACTTTGACCTTTTTAAAATTACCTGACTTCAACTATTATAATCATTAAATAAGCCAGTTTATCAGGTGAAAGGTATCATCATTAAATACTCTCAGACTGTTAATCTTACCTTTTTCAAGGCTTCAGCTGTTACAAATTAAACATTTTGCCCTCTCTCTCTCCACACAGAAGCCAAAGTGTATCATCCCTTTCTTTCTTCACACAAAACCCAAAAAGATGATGGGACGTGAATTTTTTTTTTTATGAATGAATTGTGTTTTATTAAACAAAGATAGAATAAGTACAAGCACCCTAAGAGGAGGCAAGAGGTGTTACCTTCCCTTAAGTGTGGTTCTTAACCCAACTCTTCTCAGATTACAGTTACAAAGTAGCCAAAACAAAGAATCCCTTGGAGCCCCTTGTTTAGCTAGAGAATCTGCCGTGGCATTGGCCGATCTACTAACCCACTGAAATCTAACTAGCATGGTTCTTGTGAGCCATTTGACTTTTTTGATGATATCCCTGTAGCCCCAAACAACAGTATCCAGATCCGACAACCATCCCATTATCACCTTAGAGTCTCCCTCGACTATCAAATTAGTCACTCCAAGTTGGTTGGCAATCTGTAGTCCTTGTACTGCAGCTAGCAGTTCATCCCTTGTAGAGTCTCCATAACCCACTGGACCTGAAAATAAGGACAGAATGTTGCTATCCTTATTCCTCAAGATCCCTCCTATCCCAAAGGTCCTGGATTGCCTTGACTGCTCCCATCAAAGTTCAACTTTACAACCCCTTCCAAAGGAGGTAACCAATCAAAGTTCAAAGGCAATGTTTTAGTCAGTTAACCAATTAAACTGACCAAATTGCAAATAAAATTTTTAATCTGTTTTCATTCTTTTACAGTCAGTTTCGATTGGCCTACTGGTCAACCCGAGAGTATCGGTTTCGTTGATATAAATAAACCTGAACTGTAGATCATATAAAGATCTCCATCCAAACCATATTATGGAATAATTGGGAGAAAATAAGTTATTGGAGTTTCCTCAGAAAGAATATCTAAAAGGAGTATTTGACTTGATCACTGTCATATTTATTTAATAGTTAAAGATGGTGGAAATTTTCATAGAGCACCCAATAGACTTGATTTTAAGAGAATGAATACCGGCATCCATAAAACTTCCAGAGTTGAGGAGGTCCTACTTTGTTAGACTTCCTCCCACTGAATGCCACCATTGTGAAATGCTGACATAAAAACCTGATGCCTCAGGTTCTTCTTTTTCTCTTTTCTTGAAGGGGGGTGTTGGAGATTATAGATGGATCTGCAGTTCTTCAGTGCCACTGGAAAAGGAAACTCACTCCATCAAAACTAGAGGTCTTCCCTTTACTTCAAGAGTATGGGTCATCAACATTCTTTTAGGCTGTGTTTGGTTTGAAGGAAAAAGTAGGGAAAGAAAGGGAAATTTAGAAAAACCTTTGCAAAACATGTATAGGTTTCCCTATGTTTCCTTTCCTTTCCCTACCTTTTCCTTCAAACCAAACATAGCTTTAGAGTTTCAGTTCTAAGTGTATAGTGGTGGGTGGCCACTCAGATGAAAGGAACCTCACTCAACAGATGAGAATTCCTGAAAAGCTTATTAAAGAAAATCATGGCTTGCTATGTAAAATTAACATTGCTTTTCCTTTTGATCAATGGCATCCAGGGCCATTTACTAGAAAAAAGACATCCAAGATGAAAAATCCTTCCAATTAAAGCCTAGGTCAGCCAACTCCATTCACAATGGGGATGAGCTATCCAAGAGTTAAAAAGCAATGTGCAGAGTTATAAGGTGTATATTTGCTGGAGTAATATTTTAGCCCTCGTATCCCTTTCCTTTTTGTATTAAAAATTCATGTTTTGTTATAAAAAGAGTGAAGAATACATTTTGATTTTAGGATCTTAGTAGTTAGTACTTGTATAGACTATAACATATTCTTACAGCTATGAGACAAATGCAACAGGTTTACCTAAATGTCCTTCTAAAAACCTGATCTTGATTGAACTTCTCATGTCTCAGTTTGGCCCCAATTCCTTGTACTGTATGCCAAGGACTGTTTGCACCTACATGGAATTTTAATGAAGACAGATCCTGAGAGCTGCCACACAAAGAATGTTAGAACCGATTTAGTTGGTAATTAATATTTACTTTGATATGATCTGATTTGCATCATTGATGAAATTCTACCAAGTTATGGTTTAATTTACACAAACCTTAAAAACCTCCTCATCAATCAAAGCCAAATACTAACAAGTAATGCCTGTTAAGGAATACGGATGCTGTCTGATTATCAACACCAATACAAAAATATTGTTTGATTATCAACTCTACTATCTATGATTTATTTCTTTATATTTACTTTTCTAATGAGGGCCACTTTTCTCAATACCCATGAAATGGAGGTAACTCTGCTGAGACACCAATGCTGACCAAAACATTGAACCTTCTAGTCCATGGATTCCAATAAGCTAAGCCCTTGAAGCATGAGAACTTACAAAGGAATATCCACTTAAAGATTATTTCAGTTCACTTGCACCATAGATATAATTCAAATAAATTTGAAGACGAAAACAAATATCAATGCCAATCTATAAAACCTGAATTTGTGCAACGAGCTTCTGAAACCAAACAGAGTAGGATGCCAGAAAACGATCGGAGCTGCAATCCTGACAAGTCAGACCTAGCAAACAGATTCCTGCCCAGCATTTGTCTGGCTATAACACCAAAAGATACGCATAAATAACTAAATATCCAAATGATTTCTTAACCAGAAGCCAAAGCAAGGGCCTTCAAACTTTATCACCAAACAACCAATACGCAAGGGAAACTAAACACATAAATAGTTCTTAAAAATGTCCTGATAATTACCATTTTGCTTGAAGCAAGCAACAGAAGACGCTCAACCCATGCATCAATGGCAGTTTTCCAGTTATCAACCTGCTTTGGATCAACTGGTTCTCTGCAAGATTCAAATAAAAGCCCATGGGTCTTGATTGCTGAAACCACTATAGATAGCTCTGAAGGTCTAGGAAATGGGTGTTTCTCGTCAGGGAGATGGTCTCTTATTAGTGAACGTAGCAACCGAGGTTTCAGACTAATATCGTACATGTTCTGAAAGTGCTTGAAGGCCGCCATTGGAGAAAAAATATTCTGACGTGCTGAGTCCGTAAAACAGACACACACAATAGAGTTCGAACTACGAACTAAAGCAGATGGACCGTGGTTTTTTCTCTTTAAACCCTGAAGGGGTTTAGGTTTAACCGTTGACACGTTGTTCCTTCGTGAACCTCCCGGTTACACAATGGGGGTAGTCCGACACCATAGGCCCGTACCCGTAACCCCCAAGACCCTGGTAACAGCTGCAATCCCAATTCCCGTTCCACCCAAAAAAATAAAAATAAATGAAAAAATCCCACCGCTAGGGTGCAAGTGGATCGGATCCGATATCCGATCCTATTTGATCGAATTCGGATCATCCTGTTCGAATCTTTGGAATTAAACGGATAATTAAGATCAGATCACCTCCATCCAGAATATCGAATTCCCACCCTAATTGTTGCATTCAGAAGACGAGAGATTCAGTACATTATGAACATCTCATAGTGTTGGAACTTGATCCCAACTCTTGAAGAATATGCTACTGGAAAATGTCTTCAATCATGAAAATTTGTTCCCATTAACTTTTTGACACCGTTGCATCTTCTAGCATAAAATGTCTAAAATACTCATATATTTACTTTTGACCAAAATGCTTATTTTCTAAATTTTTTGTTCATATCAATTATTACCTCAATCCCTTATAATCTCTTTTTTAAAATTTATGTATTTTTCAAATTTTCCCTTCATATCAATTGCTCAAAGGTAAAATTACAACTTTAAACTATCTTTTTTTTCTTGTTCATAACATTTATATTGTTTTTTATGTATAAACCAGCCTCAATAATAATTACATGAGTATTATGGACATTTTCATGCATCTTGTTAGAGGGTTTTACAAAGGGGGTCTACTTGCAACTGTGTCAAGAAGTTTATGGTAGGTGATTATAATTACCTAACTTTAGGGGAGGTTTGGGCAACAATCAAAAACTTCAAGGGAGGTTTCAACAATTACCATTGTTTGCTTTCAAATCATTGAACAAAAAGATGGATTTTTGTGTATTTTCCCTAATAAGTATTACATGGGAATGTTAAATAACATTTTACTTATTTTGCAATTATGAACAAAATTTAAGGAGTTTTGTGTCTTTTTCTGTAACAAGCATTCAATGAGAAAGAAGAGTCATTTCCTGATAAGAATTAAATGAGAAAACAAAATTACATATTTGCCATTGCTCATTCTTTAATTCAAAACCTTAAAGATGTAGTATTTTTAGTCTAGTGAAAATTCCAGAAGGCAACCACATCTATTCATACTTTTATAGATATTATAGATTATAGATAAATAATGGATGGTTCCAAGTAAGGGTGGATTCGAGCCGAGCCGAGTCGAATAATACGAGGCTCAAGCTTGGCTTGAGACTGTTCTACAAGGTTCAAGCTTGAGCTCGATTTTGAGAAAAAACATTTTATAAAAATAAAAAATTATATATAAAGATATTTTTTATTTGATATTTTAAAAATAAGAATTATAATATATATATTCGAACCGACTCGCAAACCTCACGAGCCGAGCTCTAATAGGCTCGAGCTCGAGCTCGGTTGAAACTGAGCCGAATCGAGCTTTTCACGAGCCGAGCTCAAGCAAATCGTGAAAAGCTCGGCTCATTACCACCCCTAATTCCAAGACTATGGAGATAAAACACAACTTTTCTTTTATAGCTTTCTCATCAAAATGTTTCCTTTCCTAGTGTAAGCATGACATGAGAATTATACGATGCGTCTACTAATGTGGCTCAAACAATAATGTAACTACTCAACAATGGCCACTAATATATTGCTTTGTCTTTTAGTGGTTGTTTGATAATATGGTTAGTTTTGTTTTAAAAACAAATTCAACTACTACATTAACAAAATTATATATCTATTAATAAGGCCCAAACAATAATGTCTGTGCTATGATCACCATTTGTTAACATGAAGTTGTTGAACAAAAAACTTTATCTTTTAGGGGGTTTGTTTTACAACATGGTTGAATTTATTTTTAAAAAGAAAAACAACCACCACATCAACAAAAACAATTTTGCTCATGTAGCAGTTATTTGTATTTTCAACAAGCAAAATTAACTATGTTGTCTAATACCCCCTAGTTGTTAAAACAATTAAAATAGCAAAACTTTCAAGATGTAGTTAAATGAGTCCGCATCTCCTAATCCCTTGAATCAACATCTTGTTAGTCATCACCAATAGAAAACCTCCACGTAGCCCTGACCTTTTTTAATTGAAATTTGACGGGAGTCCAGACTAACAACAATATTGGACTCCAAATGATATTTCAATTTTATTAAGACCTATTGTTGGATTATAAAACCAACAAGGTCTTTTTCTTCCCCAAAACTGATGAACCTCTGAAAACCCTTTTTACCCTTCTCCCTATCTATCAACCGTGAACTTCGGAACTGGCCTGTGACAACCATTTGAAAAAAAAATAATAATAAAAATAGTTTGGACGGCGACAATAACTCAAACAATGACCTATGAACTTCATATTCTTTGGTAGTGGTAAAGCATGAATAACTCTAATATCGGTCTATTGGTTGAAGTTAATTTAAATCCATGTGATTAATGTGGATTTCTTTGTGATTTGTTAAGTATGGTTCTATCTGTGGCATGAGCCCAGCAAACGTAGACTTGGTTTCTCTTTTAATAACTTATTTGCTTTTATACAACCCTAACATCTGGTAGTAGAAGAAGAGAAGCTGATTATGCTAGAGAAAGCTTGGGGGAGGGTTTACCATGGACCCATGGATGAAGAAGAAGATAATGAAGGGAGATGTAGCTAATTATGCCGGAGAAAATAACAGTGGAAACTTTCTTGTTTTTCGACGAAGATTACATTACTGTCGGTATGAGTTATCATCACCACTCAATGGTTGCCAAAGCTCACAAGTTGGGGGGAGGGTTTACAATCCCTTGGAAGATGACCTCACCACTCGGCTGCGTGGAGGTTTTCTATTAGCGAGGACTAGCAAAATATTGGTCCAAGGACCAGCAGATGCGGGCTCAACTTTAGTTTTAGTCGACAGAGTAATAAGGGTTTCAAATCAAAATATTCAACTGTTAACAAATTGCCCCAATTAAAAATAAATAATGGAGTTACATATATATACTCATGAACTACACAATCAATACTTACAAGTTATAACTATGTTTTTCTAGTGGTGGGGCATAAAAGAGAAGATAACTAGAACCTTTGGCCCAGTTTGTATTTCTAAATCTTTAATATTTGCAATGTGTACATTTGTATTTGCAATGGTTTACAATTGGAATCAGAATGGTCTATTCCCATAATTTGTTTGGTTCAAACATGAATATAAATGGAAATGGGAGTCACCAGGAATGGGATTTCATTCTTAAGAGAGGGGTTGTGAATGGTCATTCCCTCAAATAGGGAAATGTCATTCTAGCAAGAATGGGAATGGAATTCCAATTCCGCCCAACCAAACAATTTAAATAGAAATAATCCATTTCAATTCCAACTCCAAACCCCTATTCCTACAAGCCAAATGGGGCCTAAGCTTCCATTACCAACAATGGAATACAATCATTAAGGAACATACATGGCTAATGTGTTAAAACTTGTTAATTATCATGAAGCACATTGGTTGAGAAGATTTTGTTCGGTAGTGAGAACATTTTTTTTTCGATAGAAAAATAATCAAAATGGTATGTTTTATTTAGGGCTTGAGAACAACACCTCGTCACACATGTCAAATCTATGAGGCTAATACGATCACTTTGGTGGTGTTTGGCATCGATGCCATTGTCCCAAAAAACAGCTCAACATCGACACCATGTAAGAAAAAAACAGGAGCATTGTTCCAGAAAATGACAACTTAGAATTTGGGAATGCGAGGTATGAGAAAATGTCAAAAATGGTGTTTTCTCATTTTTGGGACCATTGCTGCCAACAGTACCATAGCATGGTACCAATGTGGCATCATGTGAACCATTGGATAATGTGGATCAATGCTGAAAAGGAGCCATTTTCTTAGAAAACAGTGCAACAGACCCACATCCAATACAGGTACAGCAATGTTTTCTGAGAAAACCGGGTATGAAGTAATGACATGGATGCCAAACACCAGTTTTATTGTCGCCGTTAAATGCAGCATTGCTGCTTAACATGTGGAAGTTTGGAGTTCACATCCTCTATGACCGTGGTAGCAGAATACTTCTGCGACCTCAAAGTAGTTCGGATCCGTGCGTTTGGACTAAAGGGATTTTTGATGCGTCACCCGAAAACTTCCAACTGGCTGAAATGACAATTCTCTAAAAGCATTTTTCTTTGTTATAAAAATAAAACATAGTTGCCTTTTCAACACAAAACCCACATGCGAAGAAGATGGAGGTAGCAGATGAGGCGGAAGAGCAGACGAGGAAGAAGATGGAGATCCGGTAGAGTCACGAGCACAGCTCCAAAGTACATGCCAAGGCATCACTCAAACGTTACCCAAGAAAGGGATTTGAGTGGCCCTGGAGCTGTACCACCATATCTTGTACCGTTGTACGCACTCCCCGCCGCAAAACATGGCAGCACGAACAACGCTAGGATCTTCAATGATCTCTGCGTTGTGTTTCTTTGAACTGAGTTGGCTATTGAATGATTCCTAACAAATTAATACTAATACTCACCCATCACATATGACTCCATCGTTGAGCGTTGATGGAGGAGAGTCGCTAGACTTTTACAAGAAGCAAATTGCGTTCAGTTGTCCTGTATCGATCGTTGGACCAGTTGGCGAATGTCTCATATACTTTGTCAATTTGTTTAAAATGTAACATATTCCAAACATTTCAGAAAGGCAGATAAGTACCCCCATAGCCCTCAAGCAGATAACATATTCCATTCCAAACATTTCAGAAATGTAACATACTTTGTCAATTTGGTTCTTCTTCTGCACTTCATCATCTTGATGAATGATGTCAAGGAAGCAGGACATCAAAGCAGCAGCGGAAAAGTTATCCAAAAAACTGTTTTTATTTCTTCTGTAATTCAGTAATTGCACTTGACTATTTGTATTTCTAGTGAATCCATACACTTGCCATGAGAAACCTGATCAAGAAGAACCAACGTATGAACTTCATTGTTGCAGAATGGAACGCTGTTTGTAAACAACATCGAGTGTTCTTCGTCCTTAGCACGCCATTTTCAGTGGAAGTTTTTTGTTGTATTTTTAGAAAACTACGACCACTGGGTCCATCCTAACAAATTCTTGCCGATGATTTCTGCAAAGAGAGCTCAGATTTTAGAAGAGGGTTGAGATAGAATGGAAGGTTTTCGAATTCAAGGTTGAAAGTTTACCTTTATGTTTATTTTTTTTAACAAAGAAAAAAGCTTTTAGAGAATTGTCATTTCAGCCGGTTGCAGGGTTTACTCCAACTCAACATCCGTTAAACGTGTCTCTAAGAGAAAGTCCCTTGGGCTGTGTTTGGTTGAGTTGCAAATTTATTTGCATTGATGCAAAGTTATGGTAGTGCAAATGATTTTAATGCAAATTATGATTTATTTTTATTTTAAAATTTACCTTATTTTGTTTAATTGAAGTAAAAATAAAGTAAAATAAGACCTGAAACAAAATTAAGTAAAATCTAAAACCAATGTTCAAAGTATCGATACAGGGCGATACATCGATAGGGTGTATCAACCTGTATCGGTACTCTTTTTTTTTTAATCTAGTAGAGGGGCCGGTCTACCCCTTGAACCACTTGCCAACCCAAAACACCCCCTGTAGGGGCATATCGAGAAGGCTCCGATTCGATACGTATCAATGCTTTGAAACCAGAGTTTGCATTATTTTCATTTGCACTCCCAAGCATTTGTAGTAGTGAAAATAAAATCACACTGCAACCAAACATAGCCTTGAGTCTAAACACACTAGATCCAGAGTGACCTCAAACACGCCTCCAATTTAAGACTGAAAAGTAACGGTAACGACTCCAAGTTATTGTCCTGAACTCCAAAATTCCTGATTAGTACCCTGTACTTTGGGCCTAGTGTCACTTTGGTCCCAAAACTTAAAAATGCGACAATTTAGTATCTGAACTTTCAAAACATGACAATCCAGTACTTGTTATTAACTAACTATTAATTAGTTGTTGAGTGGCATTTGAAAAAGACATAAATGCCCTTTTGAGTGCCATCTAATTTTCTTTATCAACCATCCAAACATTTACAAAAAATTAACAGTTTCAGATCCCAACTTTATTGAATGGAAACAGTAAGGATTTGGGACTATTAATTTTTATCAATGTTTTAGATGGTTGATAAAGAAAATTAAGTAATACTTGAAGGACATTTGTATCTTTTTCAAATGCCACTTAAAGGCTGGTTAACAGCTAATTAACATATGTATTGGATTGTCATATTTTAAAAGTTTAGGTATTGAACTGTTGCATTTTAAAACTTCCCCTACCGGTAGCACCCATTAACAGAAAGGCAAAAATACTATTTTACCCTTTATTTTTCTTCAAATTTTCAAAATAACACAGGGAAAGGGGGAAAGAAACATTGAACTCAATGGTTCTGTAGGCGATCTCAATACTTACATCCCTATCATTTTTGCACCTAAAAAACCCCTTTGATAACATCGGCAACAATGAGAGAAAGCAAAGGGATGAAACGACAACAATGACAAACCCCTTGGTCTGTACGGGTTTGATGGCAAATAAAGCAAAGGAGATGCCTTCTGAGAGTTGAATGCTATGAACCACGGGTGTGGATCTGATGAACGCCAAGCTAGTAACGAGAGTAAACTTACCTTATCTGGCCTGAGACGAACCTTATATGGCCTAAGACTGAGAATTAATGCCAACACGGGAATAGAGGAGCAAGGGAGAGATTTCGATTAGTTCCAATCATCAACTACTAGCTTCGAGTAGCAATGACGACCGGGATATAACAGATAGTTTAGTGAGAGGAAGTTAATTTCTAAACTCGAGTTCTGCTTGTCGGAGAATCTGCGGTTTGCTGCCAATGGTGAACAATGATTTAAAATGCAAAAGTAAATGAGGGAAAGGGTGGGAAAAAAGACTGGGGAGAGAGAGAGAAGGCAATCTACCATGTTTAGATCCGCCGCTACAATGAGTTGCAGCGGCGGCGGCGATGACCCCTCTTCAAACGAAAATAGAGGAGCGGCGGTGAACCAGCGGCACCCCTCTGGCCATTCTCTCCCATTTCTCTCTCTGTGTCCATTCCTTTTTCCCCTCTTATTCAGATCCCAATAAAATCATTCGAAATCGACTGTTACAATACCTTTTATCGTCGACCTCTACTCGAATCAGTTTCTCTTCTTCTTTTTTTTTTCTTCTCCTTCTTATCTCCTCCGCGTCCTCATCGCTGTCGCCGTTGCAACTCATTGCAGCGGCGGATCTGAACATTATGGAGCATGCACATGAGAATGAGAAGAGCAATTTTCAGTCGAACACCGAGACCAAAGACAGGGGCGGCGACTATTGAGCAACTGCAGTACAAGTCTGCACTATTCATTTCTTTAATCTTGCGACGAGAATAGGGGTGACGACTGCAAGTTCTCTCTCCGATCTATTCTCTCTCTTCCTCTCTTTCTCTCCTTCCACTTATTTTTCTTCTTCTTCATGGCCGGATTTCTAACCCCTTAGTATATATATGAATATGCTGAAACCATTGATACCAAACGGAGAAAGAAGGGGAGAGAGAACCAAAGGTGAAGGGGGAGGTGTGAGAATGGAGAGAGAGAGTGAGGGTTCAGCGGATGAGGATAATATTGAGTTTAGAAAAAAAAATTATAGGTTACGTGGGGTTAAATGTGCACAGACCGTGACAGAACATTAACGAATGCTAACAAGAGGGATATATAGTTAAGAAGCAATAAAGATAGGGTTTTTGAAAGATTTAGTGGGCTTTTAGAAGCCCGGAAGACCAAAAACCCTTTTTTTTGTTTGGATAATGAAAGCCCATTAGATTAAAATATGAGACCCCTAAAAAACCGTAAAAGTCCAAAATGGTCTTTTATCTGAAAAGCTACAACCGAAGCTTTTGCTCTATTCGGGCTTTTCACCTTCTAGCAAATATTCGAACTTGACGAAACATCCTTCGTTCTCCACTTTCGAAAGTGACTGAGAAGCATCGACACAGGTAGTTCTTCTCCTTTTAATTCCTTCAATCATCTATTTTTTTCATCGTTCCATGAATTTTCCCTTCTTCCTCTTCTTCTTCTTCCATCAAGTACTAATTGACATTTTTTCTTGTAGGAGGCTAATTACCAGCTGTTCTTCACCGTGTTCAGGTATAATCATCTGCCATTGCTCTTTTTTTTTTTCGGATTCCATTGACACATTAGGCTCCAGGTTAGGGCTTAACATTTGTTAGTGTTCTATCATCAACATTTTTTGATGTCTATTTACATTTCAAATTTCTGCGATCTGGATCATATATACATCTCAAAAAAGAAAAAGAAAAAGAAAAATATAAAATAAAAATAGTTGGCGTAGCAAATGATTCAGTCATATTAGAAACACTCGTTTGATGCGGTAACATAACCTATTCCAGTTGCTCCTGATCGTATGAGCCATCAACATGTATGTAGGCTTCAGGATTTTTCTGGGGGGTGTTTGCTGAACTATTTGTTTATTGCTTGTGGTTGTCCATAGGGTCCATCTTTCTCCACCAGTTGCAGTGGGATCCAACACGCTTTTTTTGGTGGATTTTTGCATTGCACATGTCCCATATGCGTCTAAACAGAATGAAGAATTTTTCAATATAAACCTGTTTGATGTTAGGTGACTTGCCCTGCACGTTAATGTTAAAATTGTAATTTAAGGTGGTTGTGGAGAGTTAAGGAATTGATTTCCATTAATCTTACTCAGACTCTAGGAAATGGACCTTTTAGGGAGGTTATAGTCAGTATTGATGATACTGTAGTTGGGGCTGTCTGACCTTCTACTGTGATATACACTAGAGGGATCAATCCTCTGCTATGGAGACCCGTTTCTGGAATCGGTAAGCATTTTAATTATTTTAGCCCATTGGGGTGTTGTGGAGGGTGCCTTGCTGGGGTGTTGTGGAGGGTGCATGATTGAGTCTCTTGGTGCATAACTATTACTTTGTCTGCCTCATGAGCAAGGTCCCACCAAGGAGAATTATTTCAGAGAGAGAGAGGTGGGGGGAGGGGTGTAGTCAGAACATTAACAAGGGTGATGAATGATTTGGACCTGGGTGGGTCTGGTGGTTGACAGTTGCAGATAAGGAGTGGTGGGAATAGGGGGTTCGAATTTCTATATCCAAACCCGGCCAACCTGTTGGAACTTGGAACCCATATATTTTTGTTTCTACCACTTCATCAGGTTTGGATTGCCAAGTTGTGGGCATACTGTACCATTAAATGAATAAACAATCCATTGGGGTTTGCAAATATTGCCCTACCCATGGGAAAACCACATTCGTTATCAGAATTCCTTCAAGTTCTCTAGTAATTTGGCTTCAACTTCCTTCCAATCAAAATAAGGTTGAGATTTACATGTGAGAGAGAGAATTAGCAGGTTTAGCATCAAAACAAACATGGGCATGGCTATATATGAGGATATCTATTATTATAATGAGGTGAGACCCCACAAGCCCAATAAACAATAGAGTAGGTTCTGATCATTTACTTACAAACCCTATAGTGTGTAGGTCAGAACACAGAATTGGGTGTGTTTTCTTATCAGGTAAGGACTTAGGAGACTCAGGACCCGATCTATTGACAGCAGTAGAAGTAGTGAAGAGTAAGTACTATGTTAATTTTCCAGGCAACAGTTGCCGTCAGTTGTTTTACACCCTTACATATGTACAATTCCCCAAACAAACCTGTAGTTTTCTGTTGCAAAAGTTCAGTAGTTTGAACCATATAATCAGCCACTTGTACAGCTTTCTGCAAACCATCAGAAGTTCAATTTCATGAAATATTTTGTTGCATCTTCAACTTCTCCCAACTCAAGATAACATTTTGCAGCTCTGTATTGAACCTTGAGATATTCATGCTCTATTGCAATAGCTGCCATACAGTCCACAAGTGCCTCTCTCATCCTTCCAAGAGACATCCTTGTTGCAGCATGGTTGCTATAACACAACATCATAGCCTCAAGGCATGCCATGGACTTCTCATTTGGAGAAACACAATTCACCCCTTCTGTGTAGCAATCCTCTACTTCTCCTAGATTACCCTTTTCATAAGCTTGATTTCCTTTAAGTCTCCATTCTTCACATGATCTAAGAGTTTTCTCTGGTTCCTCATCCACTCCAGACATGTTCTGCCCTTTGTTTTGGCAAGTGGTTTAATCTCCCTGCCCAAAGTGCTTAAAGAAAAAGAACCAACAGTTAAAGAGAAAAAAGAACTGCAGAGAAGGAGAAGCCATGCGAATAGTTGGAAAAGAAAATGAAAATTGGTTATCCTTTTTCATTGAAAAGGGAACTCCACATCCAAGTCTATTACAGAATTCCCATTCAAAACCACTCTGTCCTTCATCTTATGGAACTCTAATTAATCTAAAGAAATCATTTTATGAGGGGAAAAAATACTTACTGTGAAAACGTCAAGGTCCAGCAGTCTCTGCAACTAAACAGTCTTGCCCCCTTAAATCTTTTCAACCAAACTGACAATATGCATTCAACAGAAACCACCTTGTGAATTATGAGTCATAGAAAATGTTGATGATTCAATTAATGAACAAATTGGGAGTATGACTTTTGGGATAGTAATCTGAGACTACAAAGGTTGATTTTGTGAAGAAGTGAACCAAAATGTAATACAAGCAGCTTATCAGCAGGACATGGATGTATCATACAGAGATAGAATCATGGGTGGAGCATTGCCTGGGCTGTGAAATTCTTGAGCTCTCCCCTTATTTCCTACCAGGAACAAAAGTATATACACCACTGAAGAATAATTATTAGAAGCTGCAAGGAAGGGGATCAAAATAACCCAGTTGAATGAGCTATTCAAGTTGCTGCCTAGAGAATGAGCCCATCTGATCAGAGGTGTGAACTTCCAAGGGGTCTCCTCTTGCATATTATACAACAAATTATTGTTTGGTAGTCACCCTCCAGTTTTCCACATCCAACTCCTTCATATAATTCAAAATCAGCGGATCCAATCCTTGAATTAAAGCAAGAATTTCAGCCCTCAGAGAATTTCCATGTCCAATCAGACCCGAGAAACTGAGGACAATATTTCCATCATGATCCCTTACTATTGGGACAATCATGGCAGCATCTGGTAGTGGACCTAGTGGTGAAAAGAAGATGCTCAACATTTGAAGTACAAATATGCCTTTTTTTTCCTTTTTTATATCACAACAAAGGCTCAACATTTGAATACATGCTAAGCATATATACAACCCAACTACATCAAACTATAAGTTCAAATAGTAACAAAACATCAGCATCAACATCCAGTGGCTGCACCATTGAATCTTCTTCTAGTTATTAACTAGTTATTGTTTTTCTTATTCTAGTCATTAACTAGTTATTAATTATTTCTAAAACTTTTTTAAATAGTTTTCTTCCGTATAATCTTTTATGAACACTGTTTTGATGAGGCCTTAATTTTTGAGCCTATTTCTCTGTTTAGGTAAATGTGTAAGTGGGACCCACAAGTAATATTTGCATATTTGAATGCGTTACTAGGGCCCACACACAATATTTAACATGTATGTAAGAAGAACCGATAAGCATGTTTGCCAAACGGTCTCTCGATCTTTCTAGCTTTTGAAAGATCTTTAAAAAAATTGCAACCAAACGGTCTTTGGTCTTTGAAGATCTACCTATGAAAGCTCGTCAGTCTTTTGAGGTCTTGAGGTTTTGGAAGATCTTCCTAAAAGGACTTGCCCAATGCCACCTTAGTCAATTAGCTAAACTAGGGTAGTTTAAGAAATTTACCCTTTCTTTTTTTTTTCAATGTTTTGGATGCGAATATTTCATGCCATTCGTTCAACCTCCTCTCTCGACTCTTCCTCTCCTCACTCGTAGCCCGTTCATCTCTCTATTCTGTCCCCCGGCGACTGGCGACACAGGCAAGTGGCGTTACTGTTCCGATGACTATTTTACCGACGGCAAAAGGTTCCGACGCCTGGTAAAAAACCCTTTTTTAAGTAAATCAGAGCTACCGTTCTCACATTAAAAACCAGTCCCACAATAACGTTTTCTTCTAATGTTACATTAGCATTTGGCTTTTGAGTTTTTCTTTTTTATTTCAAGAACCTAATATGAGATGGAAAATCAGTAGGATAGCACTTTTTTCATCAGTCTAATTAAGTTGAGAATGATTTCTCAATGCAAAATGATAAAAGTAAACACGAAGAATGCCATATCATTTTTAATTTCTTAGGAAGTGTTATTTAGATTTCTTTCACTTTTTCTTTGTTCTCAGGTTCTTGCTTTTGGTTGGTTAAGGGCTCTGTAATTTTGGGGTGGTAAGTTCGATTTATTCCTCTTCCTAAATTTCGTTGTCATTCTTCGCTGTTTCTTTTTGTCTCTTCGCTATTGTTGATCTGTATGCAGTACTTTGGTTTGGTTCTTTGTTTATGGTTAAAGTTGAATATTCGCTTCTTTTCTCTGAATTGATCGTCAGTCTGGCTGTTTTTAGTTATTTATTCTAGTAATATAAGTGTTAGAATAAATTGAGAATACTGTAATCAGTAAGTGCTAGAATAAGTTAAAATGAACACATGGTTTCTGAAATATGTTTTACCAGCATGAAAGTTTAGCACGATTTGTTTTTAGAAGAAACCCCTACGAAGCTCTTGAAATCCTGAGCTGAGGCTATCTATACATGTCTGTCCGCTCATCCTCCAGAAGGCAGTCCTGCAGGAACTCTAAAAATGTCGATGTCAAATTTTATAAAACATGTCATTTTTTTTTGTCCCTAGCATAAGGCATGCAAACGAAAACTTTCTTACTTTGTTTACCCTTTTTGTAGTTGGCTAGTGAGTATTAAAAAACAATGAGAAAGGAACATTACTGATATGTCTTAGCTTTGCTTTGAGATGGTATCCACAAATTTTGTCAATATAAAAGGAAAACAAAACTCGTGTCTACATCAGCCACCCGTTTCTTTCGTTGAATGAATAAAAGTATGTCCTATGCAGTCGGATATACTCTGCAGATGTTTTTGGAGCATGGTGCGTAAGTATCTCTCTGCAAAGGGTTTTCTGTCATGAAACACTTACAGCTTTCCTAAACTGTATATATGATTTTGAATTTTCTGTACTTTTGTGTTTTTAGTGATTAATTCAATAATCTAAAGGAAGTAATGACTCCTTAGTCAAAATCTGTAACCACATTAACCATAGTAAACCTCACTGACCATCTCCTGGGACACCATTAAGCAAGGTTCAAAGTATTAATACTATTGATACGAGGAAATTGCATATCAAGAGTTTTGAACCATCAAAACTCTCACCTCTTTATATTGTTTTGTTTTGAAAATTTAACAGCAGATACCGTACACTGCCTATTAACGATTAAAGCATTGAAAAAGCCATCAATCTTAATGTGTATCGGTGACCCTGAGTGAACCTTGCTATTAAGTGATTATTACGTCTGTGCTTTCTGGTATATCATGATATCATCTAATTCAGGTCAATAGGGCCTTGTCCCAAATGGGGTCAACATCATCTAATTCAGGTCAATAGAGCCTTGTCCCAAATGGGGTCAGCTAGACAGATTCTTTTCTGCCACTCTTTGTCAAAGGACTGTTTCTCTCTACCTCAATCTACATCCTTTCAGCCTTTCCCCAACTCTTCTAGACCCATCAACTTGCACAGTGTTACTCCTTACTGGTGCATTAATTGGAATGCTCATGTATTGCCAATCTTAATTGCATTTTTTTTCAGATATTAGGGTTATTTCTAGATTTCTACGAATACAATCATCTAATTCTATCTTTTCTATCTGTTCCATATCATATCCCTTAATAAGATAGAAGCTAGAGAGAAGCCAAACTTGTGAATCTGGAGTTGCTATTTATCTAAAAGTTTTGAACATTTAATATTTTTATTTTTGATCCGAATTATTCTTTATATTTTTTGTTAGACAGTTTTGTATGCCYTTAGCTTCAATCAGAATGATGTACTTTATGAGTTTATTGTAAATGAATAAAGTTACATATTTGATTCATGTTCCCTTGGTATGTTTCTGTGTAATACCCTTAAACTGGACACTTAATGAGACTCGTGTTAGTTTAGAATGTTCACAGCCA